AAATGGTGAGACCGAAGATGTCACAACCGAGTTATCACAGCTGAAAGATGCATCAATGACGCCATTATGACTACTCGGAATCGATCTATGCTTGCGTTTATGGCCTCGGTTTCCTTTGCAATGGCTTTCAATTAACTCTAAGATGAGCTTGTAGCAAGCATTTACTTCATCCTGTCGAAAACGAAACTACAATCAGGATCCAATGTAAGTATTCGAAAATCGGCCCCCCAACCCCAAGTGATTGTGCATACAAACCTCACTTGTCTCGAGTAAACCGATAAGCTGTTTCTGATATTCTAGGTAATGACATGGTTCAATCTCTTTAATAACATGAAGCATTGTTGCAGAAGCTACGATCGAAGGTATATAAAGCATGAACCTTGAATCTGGATCAAAATTGATTTGGAAAAACTCAAGGTACATATATGATGAGCATTCTTTGAACAATTAGGATGAAAACAAAAGCTATTTTTGACCGATTACCGGCAACGAGAAACAGAAGCAAATGTTCACATCTTCGAAGGAACTCCAAATGCAAATGGATCTTCAATCCAAGCCTACTTGTAATGTGATTGAAGAAGGAAATTGGTGTCACAGGGTTCATCCTCCATTGCAGAGTCGACAACACCAAAAGCTCCATTCTTTGTATGTTTTTTGAATCAAACACATACTTTGATTCCTCCACCTAAAAGAAAGGGGAAAAAACGATATCAAGATCCCATCTTTAACAAATTTAACAAAGCAACAAACAATCATTGACACGTACTTGGAGGTTTAAAAGGAGCGGCACTTGGGTTTCCTCGACCTTGGCAGCTAAAGACAGACAAGCCACAGCAGCTAATTGTCCCATCCATGGCTTGTTTTCTTGAAACTTCGAGCTTGAAATGAACCTATCAAAGTAATTCACAGCAAGAACCATGGTCAAAGCATTGAACCCATGTTGTTCATTGACCTTGAAAATCCACTCCAAAGCTTCTTTGCGAGTTAAAACTAATGGCTCATCTGAGTTAACATCAATGTATCCATGGCGAGTTTCTTTCTCCTTGGACATTAAAGAGATCAACTCATCATCTTCCCCGAACAAGCCGTGGTCAATAAAGAATAAAGGTAAAAAGCTATCTTCTTTCACCGTTCCACCGAAATTTTCAGTTGCGTTTCCTTCAAAACTACACTCTCCTAAATCTTCATCTTCTTCGCAGTACAGGCAATCAATGATTAATGGTGGGTTTTGAATCTGCCGAGTCTCTTCCTCTAGCAAAACCATAGCTTTCAAAGAAGAAGAAAATAAATTCTCCTGTCAATGTAATACCATAAAAAACAAAGCGAATCTCAAGCTCATTTCTCACTCTTTCTTCAATTCCTCAATCTGGGCACAGATGGTGTTACTATGTAAGAGGAACACAAGAGGAAACAAATAGCAATATATGTAAAGATTAACAGGCGCAATAATTTACGGTCTAACATTAAAATTTCATAATAAATGTTAGGGTCTATTTCGAAAATTCAGACCTGTTTCATAATTTGTAATAATTTTTATTTAACAAAATATAAAATTAAAATATGCCAACATTATCTTTCAATCATCATTAAATTTAAACTTGTTTTTTAATTAATTATTTATTTCTATATTAGCATTAAATCATCCTCTTCTTCAACCTCCTAACTCTCTTCCGCTCATTAAACTATAATAGTAGTGAACTGCAAGAACGCAATAAGTTTTCAACCTTCTAAGGGATGGAGTTGGTTAATTCATGCATTAAAAGAATAAATGAAATTTGGTTAAAGAAGAAGACGCTTGCGGCTTCCCCCTTTTGACGGGTCCAAAATTAGTTCACCTAAATTTCAACCTCTGCTTTACGCCTTATAATTTCACCGCCCAACAACGGAACCTTTCCCTCAAACCTGATTGGACCTTGCAGATAGCCGAAAACAATCTCACAAGAGAGAGAGATACAGAATTCTCAGACACTTTCATCCGGTGGCGCGTACTGTCCACCCACCGCAAATGGGCCAATCCGCTTCCGCCGCTTTTCACCGAGAAGCCTCCCTCACCCTCTTGTCCTCTTCTGCTTTCCTTTCCGGCGAGGAATTTATCGATGAAATCGCGGCGAACTGGGATTACACCGCTGAGGTTCCTGACGAGTGTTTGGCTTATATTTTCCAGTTCCTCGGCCCTGGCGATCGGAACCGTTGTTCCCTTGTCTGCAAGCGGTGGTTTCGCGTCGACGGTTGGAGTCGCCACCGTTTGTCTCTCAACGCCCAATCCGAAATCGTTTCTTCTTTACCTTCGATATTAACGCGCTTCGACTCCGTGACCAGACTCGCCCTGCGTTGTAGTCGTAAATCAATTAGCATAACGGATGATGATTTGCTTACGATCTCAATCCGTTGCAAAAACCTTGCACGACTAAAGCTCCGCGGTTGTCGCGAAATCACTGACGAAGGAATGTCTGCATTTGCTCAGAATTCTAAGAATTTAAGAAAACTTTCTTGTGGTTCTTGCATGTTCGGCGCTAAAGCTTTAAATGCCGTCCTCAATCATTGCAAGAATTTAGAAGAGTTATCGGTGAAAAGGCTCAGAGGAATCCATGACGGAGCTGAGCCGATCAGGCCAGGAGCCGCGGCCACTTCACTGAAGATGATTGGCTTGAAAGAACTTGTTAACGGTCAGTCTTTTGCACCACTTGTGGTTGAATCAGAAAACCTTAAAACTTTAAGAATTATTCATTGTTTGGGTGATTGGGATAGTGTCCTTCAGTTAATCGGAAATCGAAATCGAAACAACAATCCTTTGATGGAAATTCACCTTGAGAGGCTTCAAGTGAGTGATATAGGCCTATCTGCGGTTGCAAACTGTGCCAAAATTGAGAATTTGCATATTGTGAAAACCCCAGAGTGTTCGAACTATGGACTTGTTTGTGTAGCTAAGAATTGTAAGTTGATGAGGAAGCTTCATATTGATGGATGGAGGACTAATAGGATTGGAGATGAGGGTTTGATTGCTGTAGCTAAACATTGTCCCAATTTACAAGAACTTGTTTTGATTGGTGTTAATGCTACCCATTTGAGCTTGTCAGCCATCGCATGTAATTGTTCAAAACTTGAAAGACTAGCTCTTTGTGGAAGTAGCACTATTGGTGATACGGAGATTGCATGCATTGCTGCAAAATGTATGGCGTTGAAGAAACTTTGCATCAAGGGATGCCCGATCTCAGATATCGCCATTGAAGCACTTGGTTCCGGTTGTCCCAATTTGATCAAAATTAAGGTGCGGAAATGTAGAGGAGTGAGTAGTGATGCTGGTGAATGGTTGCGAGCACAAAGGGGATCGATTCTGATCAATGTGGTTGCTTTTGACATAGATTATGGTTTTGAGGCTAGTGTAAGTGATGGTGGAGTTCATGAAATTGGTGTGGAGTTTTCACAGGCGGTTGGCCAAGTAACTGGTGCAGATGCTTCCACGAGCAGCAATGGTAGGTTAGCATTGTTGAGATCAAACTTGTGAATGATCTTTATAGGAGTTGGAAAATTAACCTTGTTCTGATCTCATTACAGTCTTGCAAGTTTATATGTTAAGTCATTTCTTTAACGCCTACATGTATTGATTGATTTAGATTTTTCTTTTGGAAACTTGTAAACCTTGAAAGACCGACAATGGGAAATGAAAATGCCCTAAGATTTCCTCATTATTGCTTGTAGGCATCTTCTTCAGCTCCCCCCCCCAAAAAAAAAACACCTTTCATTTAATGTGCTGAATCTGCAATTTATTTTGGTTATGTGCATATATTTTCCTTTATAAATCGTTTTTGATGATTGTGTATAGGTGTTGCATACTCTATAGTAAGTTTTCTTTTATTTTTCTAGGTGAGCCAGAGTTGCATTAAACCAAACTTCAGAGAAACTTGGTGGATTAGTTAACTTGGTTGCTGGTACTGGTAAGCTTCGGTTCTGAAGTCGATACAATATAGTATAAGCCATCGATGCCCTTTCCCGAAAAAAAAAAGGAAAAAAATAGCAATTCTACTTGTATCTTCTATGAATGAATGATCCATATTTTGCATCAGGCGTTTCCATGCTTCTTTTATATGTGCAATTGAACTCTTAAAGCAGATTCAATTTATAGTTCACTCTTCCATAATCTTATTCATTTCCGAACTGAAGACAGGCGTCAGCACTCGGCAGAACTTGTTATGATATTTCTTGTTCACGTCGAGCTTGTTCTGGGGATCTCGAATCCGGTGGAATGTTTGCTTACGCCATTAACAATGCTATCTGCTAACACCGTTATCACTGGAGACCGTATTCGGTTTCCAGCTTCATTCCGTCGACTACTTTTCCGACCCCTTGAATAATCTCCGGTGCATTCGGAGAAGACAGCCTCGATGTCTTTGCTTCCAGAAGTTTTAGGTTTTGTTTGAATTGGCGTTGACTTCATTGTTGGCAGAATTTGTAGTCATGATTTACCAATGGATCTTAAATCCAAAGATACCTGTAAAATTCTACGCCGTTGAAGCGCATGCTTTTGTCGGAAAATTGGTTTCCACTAATTTAGTTCTTTTTACTCTTTAGTAATCTGTGTATTAATCGATTAACGAATATTAACCGACAAAATCTCTATCGTTTAATGAACCAGTCTTATTTTATCGTTAGATTTTTAAGAAGTGAATATTTATTTGTTCATATTAAGTTAACGTAATAATTTGTGTATACAACATATAAATATAGAATTATATTATATTAATAATAATATTAATGATTTATAAAGACATAAATTAAATCAAAATTTTAGATATAAAATTAAATAAAATAAAACTTCACATACTACGTTGTACAAGCTGACCAAAGTTGATTTACATCTTTAGATCCGGTTTGAACGAACCGGTACATAACGATGACCGAACAAAAAAAACCCCATGTGCCGTAAATCAGAGGATCGGGAGAAGCTTTGTATTAGTTTGTTATTATGAAAAAATACAAATATTATTTTGAGGAAAGGGGGAAAAAAATAAAACAGAGACGACGAAAAGGAACTTGTTTTAGGAACAAAAAAAGAACTTCATTTTTCAGAATAGGGTCCCCCGATGGAGACCGGACACGGACCAAGCGGCGGTGCCCTGGGCGGTGACGATCTATCCCCGTCGTCTCCCGCGGCAGCCATATCACGGTGGACTTTCGAGGTGTCGCGGCGATACCAGCACCTCCTGGATAAGACGGTTCCTCACGTTCTCTACCGTTGGATCGGGTGTCTGCTGGTGGTTTTGATCTACGCCGTACGCGTGTACTTCGTGCAGGGATTCTACATCATCACCTACGGCCTCGGCATCTACTTGCTGAATCTGTTGATGGGGTTCCTTTCTCCTCAGGTGGACCCCGAGATGCAGGATGGCCCCTCGCTACCCACCCGCGGATCCGATGAGTTTCGCCCTTTCGTTCGCCGACTCCCCGAATTCAAATTCTGGTTTGTTTTAACGGCTTTGATTTCGTAAAATAATTGATCTTAATGTTAAATTAGGTTTCATTGATTTGAACAAACAAAGATCTTTTTTGTGATTTAAACTTTCTAGATGAAAGATTATCTCCTTTTCTGGCAGTATTCCAAACTTTAGGATAATTTAATTTTTTTTGATTTGAAACCGGCAAAGGATTTTAGAAAGTTCAATTGAGTTGAAGAAAGAAGCCTCCATTTGCATGATGATAAAACTCACTCGCAGGCCACTATGGGGGAACAATTTGATCTTGAAGTTTTTTTTATTGTTGCTAATAAATGAAGACATCATGAATTCTTATTATAAAATGAAAAATATAGGGATTCAGAATCAAGTGTTTCCAGTTATAAGCCACATTCTGAAATCTAAGCTGATCGAATTAGTTTTTTTTTTCTTGCCCCTGAATTATGGTACCTGGACTACATATGCTTAGTGTTTAGAGGATTGTACCTTCCTACCTGTGTCAAACATAAGCGTCCGGATGATATAGCTCTTGAATGTCCAAAGCTTATGCATTCAATGTAGATGAGAATGATTAGAAATTTCAATCTTTTCCTTCCATTTCCAAGGTACATGTCAATTGGAGCTTGTTATTTTCATATAGGCTTTAACACATTCACACTTGTCTGTTGGATGGTGTCTGTTTGTAGAAACTTGTGTTGTAAAGTGTTCAGTTTCAAGGGTAGCCTTACCATGTACTCCTGAAAACTTCAGGCTAAAGAATCCAATTTGATTCTTTGACTTTGAGTTTTCCTAATACCATAGAGCGCTACACTCTTGTTGAATCCTTTTTGAACGTGATGTGAAACAAAGATCAGGAGAAACAAGCAGCTTCTTTTTCCGACATCTTTTTTCTTTTCGATTCTGTTGTTCTTTGTCTATAGCTGTTAAGTAATTTAAGGTGCAGGGTGCCATGAAACTTAGTTACTTACTTTCCAAAATGTTTTGCTGAATGCTAAGATATTTGTCTATTATGTGGCCCTTTTTTTGTGAAGGTACTCGTTTACAAATGCTTTCTGCATTGCTTTCGTGATGACATTCTTCAGTGTGTTTGATGTGCCCGTCTTTTGGCCAATACTCCTTTTCTATTGGTTAATGTTATTAATCATAACCATGAGGAGACAGATTCAACACATGATCAAATACAAATATGTTCCTTTCTCATTCGGGAAACAGGTATTTCTGAATCCATCATCCTTTGCTGCTGAGAGGCAGGGTATTCAGTGTCCTATTTCTCCTTGGTATATTGAATTGCATGATCATTGTATTGTTCTTTGTTTCTTTTGTTAGCAATACGATGGCAAGAAGGTGTCTTCAACAGAAAGCACAAACCTTCCCAGAGATTAAACTCCTCGGGTGTGTGTGTGTGTCTATATTTATCTCCGTATAATTTACTGGTAATACAAGTGCACTTATAGGACCATTAGTTACACATTGAATATTTTTTGAATTTTCGCCTGCCTTTTACTGGATTCAACTTTCAGGTGTAGTTGTGAAGTTTAGCATTAGATAAACCAAAGTTATGGGCACAGAAAACTTTGTATGGAAGGGACCTGCAACATTTGTCGTCGCCTATAACTTCATCCAATGACATGTATTTTTAATTTAGATAACTACCCAATCAGGCGGTGCGATTGGTTTATATGAAATTCTAGTTTTGATTTGTACTTTTGAAATACCCTATCATTAAATTCATAACTTTCACGTTTATTTAGATTAAAGGATTTGTGCAATCGGTGATGCTTGTGGTGTATTGTCGATACCATGTTTCTTGATTTCTTTAGCTGTTTACATGGAATGGAAGACAAAAACCCAACCTTGTACTTTCTCAACAGCGTGTACTTGATGCTCCCTATTACTAGATTTATGTATAAATGCGTAAATCAAAGAAGAAGAAAAACGATGACTCAGCTTACATATTTCCTCAGTGAAGCAGATAACCAAGCACCCCAAGAAACTATAGCTGGAAAAAGAAAAAGGAAAAAGGTAGCCGGAACTCGAGAGGGACATAAGAGAGATGCATGCATAAAATCGCCTGCAGTGAGAGGTGCTTATCCATGCGCACCCAACCCAACACCCAATAAGACCATCTGCATTCTCCCTTGTTACTCTAGTTTCTCGGTGCTGCAGTTGCAACTCGGGCATAGTATAGATTCCTGGCTAAGTTTTGTTCAAAACGCCTCTGTGCGTCTGTCTGCTTTTGCTTCATCGTGCGTTATTTTTCTTGGACGTTTTGATCTGGATGTTCTTGTCTTTGAAGTATGTTTGGCCGTTGGTTCTTGGAGGTCTATCACTGGATTTCCATTAGCAGGGAGTTCGTGGGGAGTATCTGGCATGGAGTGCGTTTTGACGGAACGGTGATCCCCAAAGGTGGGTCTATTATCCATCTGCATGGCATGCAAAATAATGAGCGACACAATTCTAATATAAAGAGAATGGTACGAGATATTCACCTAGGAGGGAACTTGCTATCAGTACGAGCTTCAGCTCGATGCCAACAGAGCAAAACTTGACGTCCAAAGCTTCCAACTGGTTCCACCACCGAAGGGTCTTTATTCAAACTCAATGGGTTCTCGATATCCCCATCCAATGTATCCACGCCCTTAATCCAGTCCGGCTTATCTCCATCTTTCCAAAGCAATCTAGAATTTAAAACGAATCCCGACCACTCCAACATCCTAGGCAGCACGGTTGCTCTGCCGTCAATATAAGCAGAACTTTTTCCGGCAAAGGGCGACGTGTTAAACGTATGCCACCCCGCCAACATATTAGACGCGTTACAAGCCGGACCTTGAACCAACATTGGGGGATTCTCCTCTTCCTCTTTCTTCTGATTGGCCATCTCATCGGAATTAGCCGAGTTAGCAAGTATTCCGACCGAAACTGCCCCGAACCATTTCACATTTTGGATATCATCAAAAAGTTCCATACTGTGCATATTACTATCATCCGCAAACATAACAATTCCATCCAATTTCTTCTCTTACAATTCTGCTCCCAAAATAAATACAACTAATTAAATAAACCCTTAATTTGTTTATAGGCTTAATTATAAAATAAGTGTTTAAACTATAACACTTTTCATGAATATGTGTCTAAACTAATTTTTGAAAGATCTCATTGCCTAACGTTACAAACGTTACAACTTTAGATGTTTGGGCCATCAACGACATCAATTTTTTTCGTTAAGTGACACGTGTCAAAATATGATAATTTTAAACATTTTATTTAAAATTAAAAAATTAAAATTATACTTATATTTAAAAAAACAGATTCAAAATAACCTAAAAACTTTGAAAATATTCATTTCAACCCCTAAACCCATGTCGACCGCCGCTCTTTGCCATCGACTAAGCTTCACTCGACCTCACCTCCCCCGGCAACCAAAATCCATATAAAATCGTGACCGATAGAAGAATCTACATTTTATACTCCACGAACCCTAAGATGAAAATTACAATCCCACGCGATTCCAACAGCCAATTGGAGGCAATTACGGTGGCGTGTAACTAAGAGGATGGCAACGACTACGTCGACGACGACAGTTGTGACTGTAAAGGATGGTGACGGTGGATTAGGATTAGGATTTGAGGATTTTAAGAATTTTTGGACTTTTTTATAATTTAAAAAAAATATTTTTTTATAAATATAATAATATTTTTAATATTTTTTTAAAAAATAAATTTTAAAATTACCAGATTATATATATGTTATTTAACAAAAGAAATTACCAGCGTTGAGAGTACAACTACCACCTGTCTGGGTATTGTAGTCCACCCGCACAACCTTGCCAACTGCGTCAGCAATTCTACGAAATAAAGATTTAGAGTAGTTGATGTATGGCAAACCATGTAGTCTGACCCACGCCAGGATCTGAGACGGGTGCTTTTCAGATATCGAGAATGACCTACTCAACGCTGAACCGCAGGGATTCAAATAGCGGGATGCAAACGCGATCGCGTCCGTTATTTTACGGTCGCGCCGTCGTCCGAAATCGATATTGTTGAGTTTAGCGGTAGGTAATAGATTCACGCCGGTAACGGTCCATCACGCCCGCAATTTAACGGGATAACGGTGGATAGCGCCGATAACGGAGCGCTATCACCGTTTTCAACCGTTACTAGAAAAAAAATAGAATTCTCACCCAAAAACGCAAAGATCTAAACGGAAAAGACTCACCATCGGAATAAAATGTAAAAAAGCTGAAATTATCACTCAAAAAAACTCTTAAACTCTAGAAAAAATAGAAAACACATCATCAGGAAGACTCACCGGTTACAGGTCATCAAGGTAAAGATCAAACCTAAAAGAGAACAAGCCGACAAAACAAAGCTATTTTGAGGAAAATCATGAGTCTTATGAGCTTCGTCGCCGGTGAAAAATATACTAGAGTATGTTCCTCAGCTCCTATGAAAAACGAAAGGTTAAACCTAAAAGTGAGAAGAGAATAGAGATATAAGACTTAAAATTATATTAAAATATTAAATAACTTCTGGTAAGTTCTTTTGTTTTTATATTTGATTTTTAATTCAAAAAACAATAAGTATATTGTTTTTGGGCCGTGTCGCAATCGTCTTTTGGTTGGGCCCCAGAATTGGGCTTCGACTTGAAAAATGTGGATTGGAGTCGCCACCGATCATTTATTTTAAAAAAAAGTAAATAGGTTAATCAGGTACCTTATTTATTACTTGATCTGCATCTTACCAAAAATGTGTCGGATTCGGGAGTCGGTTACGGTCAAGGAAGGATTAGCACCCTTGAACCGCCCTTTCGTTACTACGTAATTTCCAGTTGTCTTAATTTAAGAAAATTGTAAATTTAAATTAAGAGGTAAAATAGCGATCTCGACTACTTACAATTGATTGATTTGAAAGTGACCTTTTAGGAGCCAAAATGCATATTAGAAAAGGTGATGAAAATGAATTAAAATTGAAAGATAAAGAAAACGAAATAAAGAACAAAAATAACAATAGATGATACACCAAAAGTAACATAATCGACATGGAGATATAGAACATGAAGGAAATAAAAATGAAGACAAGTATGACAACATGTGATAAGGTAAAAAAATGAAAGAATAAAGAAATAAGAAAATAAGACACAATAAAACGGAAAAAGAAAGGAATAAATAAATAAGGAAAGCATAATAAAAGTGAACTAAAATAATATATACAAATGCAAAATGATAAGAATTAAATAAAATGTACATATGTATATATAAAAAAATGTAAAATAATAGCGTATAAAGTCAAATAAGTAAAATTAATAAAAACATATAATAATATTAATACCATATATATATAATAGCTAAATATGGGAGAGATGAAAAATATATATAATAATAATAGAAAAATTAAATAATAGAAAAATTAAATAATGAAAATAATTATAGTAATAAAAAGTAAGGAAATAATAAGATAAAATACAAAACATATACATATATATATATATAATATAACATATAAGTAAAATGATAAAATATTAATAATACATATATACGAAACTGAAAAATAAAAAAAACTAATAATAATATAAAATATATATAAATATTATATATGTAATATAAAAAGATGATTAAAACTAAAATCCAGAAAAAGGACTAAATTGAAAGAACTACAGGATAGAGGTCAAAAGTCAAAGAAATATTACGGATTAATTTCAATTTGGGGGTGAAATAACTCTTTAAAGGTGACGAGGGATCAAAAGAGTAGTTTACCCTATTTTATTATAAAACGCGCGGGTCACCAGTATGAAATCCAAAATTGTTTCAAAAAAAATTTATTTCTTTCATTTGATACACCTCAAGCCGTGAGCCTTCCCCCCCATTCACAGCATTCTCTCGCCTGTTCTTCGAGATTGAAGAACAGGGTCCCCGATTCCAGATTTCGGCCACTATGGCCACCCCGTGCCGCCTCGCCGGCCGCCGTTGAACGGCGTCGACCGCCGTTCATCGGCGGAAAACCTTGAAAAGTTTCAATTTTTTTGAAAGCCCACAACACCCTCGTCACAAAAAACACCACCATTTTCTAAAATAAGCCTCGTGGGGGTGTAGATCTAGAAAAGAAATTTTCGTACACCCCTACTCCGGTCATCGGCTTTCAATGCTTAAATCTGGGAGATACAACATGCAAAAGAAGGAAATCACAGCACTCATGCGAGATCGACAGTAACGAACGAGGTAGAGTATGCTTACCCTTTTTATTCAATTTCGAAGTTGGCACAAAACGATTTGGTTCACTGCTTTGCCTGTGTATTTTTGCTGCTATTTCGTATATCCACCGTGTACCCAAATACAATGGGGATTACATCTTATTTATAGTATAAGAAATAAACTGTCCTTAGAGATTGATTCCGAGTAAGACTCGGTTTGGTTGTTTGGAGTCCCACTAATGCACGTTACTTTGCTTGTATCTCATGTGCTTACGTGTGCTTTCCTTGCGCCGAGGGGATCGGGAACTGGTGTCGAGATAACCGGGGATAGGCTCCTGGTGAGACGTGGGACACGAGGATTCTCGCACGGGGACAGTTGCGGCGCTGATGGACGGGGCTTGGCATGCGACACTAGGTTTTTTGGAAACCCTAAGTCTGCACGGGTTTGGGTCTTGGCTGGGTCACACATGAATTTGCTGGACTCATTGGTATTGGGCTTGGGCCATCTGTTTAGGCCTGAAACATGTAATAAAAATAAAAAAATAAGTAAATGTAATATATGAATGAATGTGAGATGGGATGAAATAACGTGTCTACAGGCCGTTTACTTATATTTCCTATTTTCTATTTTTTTAAATTTTTTTAATAAATTCTTAAATATTTTAAGGGATATATTAATTTATCATCCCTCAAATCTTTTAGAATTTAGAATTTAATCTTTATTTTAGAATATAAACTTTAATTTTTATTTAATTTAATCCTAAATTTGTGTTCTTTAAGTTTATACTTTTATTTTAATTCTATTCAATTTAGTCCTGTTGCGGCTTTAATTATTATACGTCATAGTTTTATGTTCTTACATTAATGATTGAACAGCTTATTTCTTTTAAATAATAATGTATTCACAATGTCATCAACTCATTATTAATTATCTTACCCTATCATCGAATTTTTAAAGTATTCTATTTGATTAAAATATATTATATATATGTCATTTTCGTTTAGAAAACATTCTAAAGATATTGAAAATGACTCATTATAATTATAATTATATGTTTTAGTATAAGTTGTGCGAAATTTTAAAAAATTCACGACCGCGACATCCGTAGTGACCGAGATGGTAGCCGTTATATCCGCAACCGTGATAAACACAATGCGACCGAAAACACGATCGCGAACGCTATTTAAAACCCTGCTGAACCGTCAAATAACTGCCGTAGATAGTCCAAGGGCCTTCCGTAAGCGCCTTGACATAGTCTGCATTATTCTCAAATTTCACCAAGAATTAACTATCGTCCAAGCCAACAAGCTCCAAATTACCTACGGGTTTTCAGAGTAACATAATACGGCTCAACAAAGTTCGATAACCACTTGAACGGCCCAGCAAACGGATAATAAGAACCTGATTCATTGATTGATCAATCTGATCATGAACGCGATCCGAAAACTTGATCATGGTTATCGGACCGGAATCATCAATAACACAGTCTTCATCACGGACTTCAATATCATCCGCCCCATAGAAAGATTGAGAGGCCATATTTCCAGCGTTTCCACTTGCCACCATATGCGCATAAGAATGCTTGGGATTAGAATCCCTCATCTGATTGTTCTAGACTCCTCCATCCGGCAACAGGGCGGGTTCCACCAACGTCTTCATCCCCTCAACAACCTCTATATCAGTCGGTTCCTCCCTACGTAAACTACCCTCTTCAAAACTAATTCTACGGGCCTTCTTCAAATCTCTATTCTGAGTCGGGGGTGAACCTGGTCTTTCCAGAACCGGTGTTGATGAAATAACTGCGGTCCCCTCCGGCGGCCGGCCATTATGAGTCGGCGGCTGCATAACTTGAACTTTCCCTTAAATTATTATTTTTATTTTCAAAGACGGGCAGTTCAGGTTTAACTTTTATAATTTAATTATTATATTTTATTGCAATCTCTCTTTTTTCCTCTCCAAAAGTATTCCATTTAGAATTTAGAGAAATAATAGTGTATGCAAATGTTGAAAATAAAATAAAAAATTCTAAAATTTGAGAATATATTATTCTTTATTATTAATTGAGATGACTTTGAAAAGAGCATTATAGGAAAAGACACGTGTCCATTTTCTGCGAATTCATCTCTTGATCTCCATGTGGTGGATGAAGAGTCACACAACACAATAGAGTAGTGGTCAAAGTCAAGTTCTCATGCAATTAGTATCCAAGAAAATTTAAATTATTATGGGAAATGTCAATTTCAAGGAATAAGATCTTTGCATCCAATTTGATTTTGCAAGGATTATAGGAAATGTCTCTTTTCTTTTTTAATAAAATCATCTAATTTTATTAATAAAAAAAATTATAATTATAATAAAATTTACGATAAAATCATAAATTAGAGACATATTGAGAATTTTTTTTCTAAAATAATTAAAAATTAGTCACTCAATATCATATTAGGACCATACAAGGAAAAGATGAAAATCTCATAAAAAACTCGAACAATTGGTAGATACGAATAAATCTGACTGTTACGACAAATAAATCACAATAAGGGGTTTAAACTACTAAAAAACCACGACGAAATGCAAATCAGAGCCAAGCATCACTAGATAATTATATGCGATCGCAAGTTACATATCCAAATATAATTCGAGGGTCCAGAGTAAGGAAGACCAACGAAATAACAAATTAGCGTTATCTTAATCAGTCGTGACGATGTCAAATCTAACCTTATATGAAAATAAAAAAAAAGTGCTAAAAGACAAAAAAAACGTATTATGAAAGTAGAGAAAAATGTGTTATGAAAGAAAAAAATTCGTGTCATAAAGATAAAATTATTCTAAAAAAAATAGATAAATATGCGAAATAAAAAGAAAATATTAGAGAGGGCTACCAACATCAAAGCTAGTACCACCACCTGCTAGTGTAAGAAAAAAGAGACCAGGGCAGAGAGAGAAAAAAACGCTTAGGAAATGTCTTTTTACTCTATTAACAATTTTTAAGATTCGAATTTATGACCTTATTTAAGGGATTTATAGTCTCATCCTATTAAGCCAATAGAATTTTGTTTTTATTTTATTTTATGAATATAATTATCATTGATTATTTATTGATTAACCAATTTAAATATAATATTATATAGTATCGTTATAAATTAAGTTTTTCAAATAATTTTTCTTCTTTTACAACATCAAACATTTAACATACTTTTAAAAACAATTCACACCTTATTTCGAAAACCAGATTTGATATTTTATTTTATTTTATTTTTCAAACAAGTTTAGATTGACATTAAAGGAAACTATCAACTTTATTCTGGCTTGAGTGTGAATGGACTTAGGCGGGGCAGGTGGGCACAGTAGTCCCTAAAATTTAAAACTATTATATAGAGATGGCAATGAATCGGGGGGGGGGGGGGGTTTTTGGGACACTCGACCTGACCCTAGAAAAAAAGGGTCCTCCACCCATGACCCGATCTGACCCGAAAAAATTAATGTTTCACCCGATCCGATCCGATCTGAATATATAATTTAAAAATCCGACCTGACCCGAAATAAAAAAATATTTTTATTTAATAAAATCAATAACTTAATTGAAAAAAAAAATATATATAGAGTGGTATTATTGTAATTATTCCTAAATATATAAAATAAAAGTATATATATTTTTCGGGTCGGGTCGGATTTTTTCCACCCTAACCCCGACCCGACCCCAATTTTTTTTTAAAAAACCGATCCGATCGGGTCAGGTCGGAACCGTTCGGGTTCAGGTTGAGTTGTCATCCCTACTATTATATATTTTAGATTTTTTATATATTATTTATTAAATATTTATTTTCGTCTATAAAATTTTATAAATTTAAGTTTATTTTTTTTAAATTTTATAATTTTAAATTTAACCCTAACATAAAATTTTATGTGTTCATCTTGCTTGAATATATATTATTACTTATTAGGTCCTTATACGTAATAAGTTTTGTTTCAAAAAGAAGTGATCAATCTTTGCTTTATTTAACTTCTAAAAATACATTTTTAAATAAAATATTTTTTAAAATAAATAATAACGAAATTATTTTAAAAAAAATGCATATTTATTTATTTAATTATTTTCCATCAAATTAACGTTAAAAAGTAAAAAATAAATTGACTGACTCAATTAAAAACTTAAATTCTAATCCATCCTATTGTCCTTATTCGGCCATACTGTACATCACACAAGTGGGAAATTGACAAAGGTCAAAAAAATAGCTAAAAAGAATAAAAGTCAACTGTTTCATGCTGGCAACAACTTTTTGCTCACTCTGCTATAATTAACTAACTATTCTGATTGAAAATTAATATAATTAATTAATTATTATCATAGATCTGACGTTTTGACCCAACTTTTCCTTCGTTAAGACCAAATTAACCCACAATAATCAGATGAAGACAAAATTGTAAGTAAATCAATGTTCCCTCCACTAAAACCCTAGATTATTAAAATTAAGATATTTCAATAAATAAATAGCAGATGACAGCTTAGTCACGTAATTTGACCATAAGTCCACCCCTTCTCTTTATGAACGGCACTTATCTCTTCATTTTCTTTTCACTTTTTTCCCCCTTTGAATGGTTTTGTTACAGACATGGCTACTGAGTTGATTACGAGTTACAGAAACAGCAACGCTTTCACATCGAAAGTGGAAGAACCCGCTGTTCAAGAAGCTGCTTCTGGGCTTCAAAGCGTCGAGAAACTCATTAGATTACTCTCCGAGACTTGTAATGATCAATCTTCTTCAATCTCAACGAGATCCTCCGTGGATTTAGAAATGGACTGCAAAGTTGCAGCCGACGTTGCTGTTTCCAAGTTCAAGAAAGTTATATCTCTTCTGGGTCGAACCAGGACCGGCCATGCCCGTTTTAGACGAGCCCCGATCCCGTCCCCTGCTCCGAATCAGGAGCAGGAAACAAAGGTTTATTACCCAACGCCGATCAAGCAGATTCCACCGCCGGTCGCTGCTTACCATCATCATCATCATCATCAGAATGGGGGTCTAGAGAGGAAAGATTCATCAAAAACCATCAATTTTTCATATTCTTCAGCTGGGAATTCGTTTATTTCATCAGTGACGGGAGATACTGATAGCAAGCAACCATCTTCTTCATCTGCGTTTCAAATCACTAATCTTTCTCAAGTCTCCTCTGCCGGGAAGCCTCCTTTGTCTTCTTCTATTTTGAAGAGGAAGTGTAGCTCCGAGAACTTGGGATCCGGCACTAAATGCAACGGCTCTTCCGGTCGCTGCAATTGCTCTAAGAAAAGGTACATCCTATATTCATACCCATTTTATAGAGTTATCAATTTCAGAGCTCGCTTTATGTGTAATTTTCTTACATGAGTTTGGGTGTGTTTTCATGTTTGGTCTTGGACAGAAAGCAGAGATCGAAAAGGGTTGTAAGGGTTCCGGCGATAAGCCTGAAGCTGGCCGATATCCCACCGGATGATTACTCATGGAGGAAATATGGTCAGAAACCAATCAAGGGTTCTCCGCATCCCAGGTACAAAATTAAATTACTCTTTCCTTCTATAAACGAAGTTGATAGTTTGAGATCAGTTCCCAACATGTTCCTCTGTTTGTCTGGTTTTGGAACAGGGGTTACTACAAGTGCAGTAGTGTAAGAGGATGTCCAGCTCGGAAGCATGTGGAAAGAGCTTTAGATGACCCATCGATGCTAATCGTCACCTATGAAGGCGACCATAATCATTCTCCCTCTGTTGCAGAAACCAGCAACCTCATCCTAGAATCTTCATAGATCCCTTGATTTCTCAAACATTTCCCTGTAATATATTTGCCCAAGCTTTCTTCAATTCAAAGGAAGAAGAAATGGTAGATTTGGCGTTAGAATTTGTTTACTTTTAATCTATTTTCCTTTGGATTCTTGCTTATAGATGAGATGCCTATTACTTTTGTTATTGGTTTAATGAAGCTAATTTTCTAAGTTTTGGTGCGCGTACATGGTGACTCAAAAGTGTCGAAATTGAGAAAGAGGAAAGTTAGGCGAAAGTCAAAATGGGTGGGTGGAGAATCGATAAATTTCTGGCCTTTAAGGACGGATTGGGACCCAACATATCGTTCATAGTTTTGTTGTCTGCCTTTGCCTTTGCTCATCGTCAACCTTTGTCCCCATTGTCTATTCATTTATTATCATCAGCGACATTGACATGTGGTGGATTGGTTAATCACCATTCATTCAAAATAGTTTCAACCCTTTCCTACTAAAACCAAATCCAAAATAACAAACACCGGTATGTCTTCTTATAGTGGAATTTTTAGACTTCATCTCAATTATTTGAATCAAATTATTAATTTTCTTGGATATTTCTTTACTATATTTTAAAAATATACTATCTTTTATATATATATATACATATATACATATGTAGTGTTAATAAGAGTAAATCAGGATTGCATTTTCATGTATCACAATCCGAGAAATTTCACAACCTTAACCTACAATCTCAAATATACCAAACATTTGGTTCTAAGTTGAGATAATTGATTTTATGTTTTAAATAATGTCTCTAAAATACTTAATATTTGATTTAATTAAATTAAAATCTAATTTTAATATCATGTTCT